TGACGGTTGCAGTATCCAGGGGGGGTCACATGATCCCCTTTTGTGACCTTCTGACAAGCAAAGTCAATAAGGAAGCCAGAGTCACTTAACAACTGTGGCAACAAAAGTCATAAAATGAGGCAAACTCACTGAACAATGTTTCACTTAGCAACACAAATTTTGGGCTCAATTGTGGCCATAACTCAAGATCTACATATAAAAAGGTGTGTTCTATTCAGAGGTGGGGTCCTACCAGTTCGCACCTATTCAGTAGAACCGGTTCGTCAAATCTACCAAACCGGTTAGAAGAGGTTCCACCAGTGGACCCAGAAAGCAGGTCACACCTACAGAAGAGCTTCCAAAAAAATTTGAAAGCCACCACTGGTCCTATTACTTCAGATAGCTTATTTTCATTGCAACATTTGAAATATGACTGGCAAGCAATTTACCTGAACTACAGCTTTGGATCCACTGACTTCTAGGACTTGCCCACTTCTCTTCGTTCCATCAGGGAGTGTCAAATGCACAATCTCTGCATACCTGGGAAACTAAAGGACAATAACGACAATCAACTAGGCCAAGAGATTTTTTGTTAAGAGCAGGGGAGAGTACAAAATTAAAGCACAGAACATCAAAGGTGATCAAGCTCATTTCTTGAAATTTAAAGGTTAAATTACAACATGAAAAAAGTTAAGGGAACACTGAATTGTTAGACGTAATTATAGACCAGTGGTTTTTTTCCAATACCATTTTTTACGAGCATTCAGCATGAAATTCTGACAGCCATAGCAATGGCTTGACAACCACATGTCGGTGAAAATTTACTATGGCATTTTATGGATAAGGGATAAAATTATCAAGCTTTCTCACCCCAGAAAAAAGCTGGCATCTATTCAGTAGCTTCCCGAAACTGATGTTCTTAAAATGTGATGGACTACAAAACCAAAATTAGATATGCCCCGGATGCTGTTGCTAGTCCAATATCAGATGAAAGATGCAAAAAATAGAAAGAGTGGTCTAACTTTTCATGTTTGAAATTCCACAGTGAAATTTAAAATCCCTGCCAGAGGTTACACATTGATAATGCTTTTGAATTTGATGTGAATGTTCAAAGGCTTCTATAAATAAACCGATCAGTTAATTGTCTATGAATGTTATTTTACTGCAAAGAATGGGATGAGATTTGCATGTCTGTATTGAACATGTTGAGAAACGCTGGGTCCACAAGGATGGTGTGGACACAGAGTCCATTCATTGTTTTGAATGTAATTTTCATTGCAATATCAACCAAGTTACATTGAAGTAGACAACGCACTTAGACATATAGAAATACTTGCTATAATTAAGGAAAACACAACCACAGAAAACTGCAGTTAAATCAAGTGTTTTTACAAACCCATCAAATCCCAAATTTACCTTCACTTGATCCAAGATTACGAGCGGTCCATTGACTCCAGATACTGTTTTATATGCTGAAAAACCAAAATGAAGAAAATATGTTTAAACAATTTAACGCACTCCTAGTCAAAATTTACACAAATTTACTAAGTAATAATGGAGGCTATGAAACCACATCAAATACATTATCCTTGATAGATCATCTATGGAAAAGAGATCACAACTAGCTGAGTCATATGCTAGATATGGCATGCCAATTACAGGTAGTCCTCAACTTACAACTGCAATTGAGCCCAAAATTTATGTTGCTAAGTGAAAAATTTGTTAAGTGAGTTTTGCCCCATTTCCCAACTTTTCTCGCCACATTTGTAAAGGGAATCACTGCAGTCCTTAAGTTAGTAACATGGTTGTTAAGTGAACCTGGTTTTTCAGTGAACTTTGCTTCTCAGACGGTCGTAAAAGTGGATCACAGGACACCGGGATACTAAACTGTCATAAATGTGAGTTAGTTTTCAAGCATCCGTATGTAAATCACATGACCATGGTGATGCTGCAACAGTCATAAGTGGGGGAAATGGTCATAAGTCACTTTTTTCAGTACTTTTGTAACTTCGAATGATCACTCCTTTAGTCAACTGTTATAAATTGAGGATTATCTGTATTGTAAGCTAGCTAAAGTACCCCAAAGAGATTTATTATGCCACTGCTTTTTTTGCCAAGGTGTGTCCAGGAATTATTTTACAACAATCTATTCAGAAAGGAAGTTTGAGACATTGTATAATGAAAAAAGGATGGGGGAGGAGGTGAAAAAGAGCATAAGGGTCCTTTACCATCCTTCCCAGCAAAAGCTTCAATTTAACCCCACATGACTGTAAAAGGAGAAGCACTTCAAAGAGTACAAGGGCTTTATCAGGCTCACAAGACCAAAGAGTAATCATTAA